TGTTTTTACCCTAAAATTTGCTCTAATTATATCTGGCCCCTAAATCCTTACATCTTTTGAATGATTGCTTGGTTACAACAGGCTTACAGAGTTAAAATTGAGTAAGAGAGAAATACCAATCTATCCATTTTCATCTTGCGCAAAGTCGTTTAATCTAGTTAGAAAGTGACCCTTGAAGCAATTAAATTAGTACTAAATGAATTGTCATCCATAATGAGCAGAGAAGCGGAGGCCGGTAATGGCATTTTTTTTTTTCCAAAATAAGCCGATTTTAAAAGAGAGATTTAAAATGGAGCACATCGACGACACGAATGAAACATTACACAGGCGTTAACGTTTTCTGGTACCAGCCTGTCCGCTGCCACTGCTTGAACTGGCAGCATCGCTGTTGCCATCTTGTGGTGAAATGGACAAGATCCTTACTGGGGAAACTAAACAGCAAATCACCCGTGCGGCGTGAATTCTGATCTACATTCACCTTTATGTTTTGTTTTTATCTCTTTGAAAATAGATACATGTAATAAAAAAAATCTTTGACATTGCAAGTGTCATTATTTTGTGATTACTGTTGAAAATAAAGTGTTAAATGCAGCATTTTTTTAACATATGTCTGCTGAGTAATTTATGTCTTTTTATATAATCAAATTATCCAGAGAGAAAATGAGGTGAGCTTTTAAGTGTCGTTTACGGTTATGTGAAGCATGCTGAACATCCAAATGTATGAGCCTGATTACTGGACGTTTGGGTTCTTTATGTCAGACCAAAAACCTGTTCAGCTTGCATCCAAATGGCACGATACTTAGGGAACCAGACTCCCCTTAACCCTTGTCAAATTGTTCACCTTCTGGGGGTGTTCTGGGAGGGAGCTCACCTTCACATTTTAACCAGCTGGAGCCTTATAACGCCTCACCACGTGTGTGTGGGGGCTATTATGCTGGCCAAAGCATCCAGAGTTCAAACTGCTCCGTCAGTCCAAAGGCTGCTAATGTTAACAATTCAAGACATAACAAGAACACGTGCCAGAAGAAACATTTTCGCTTGAGATCAGGGGCGTACTGTAGCATTCCCTCTGCATTCATTATTTACGGAGGAGACCTGTGCCTTAAAAATAAATAAAAAACAACTTAAAATCTTTTTTCTATTCATTTATTTGGTTAAGTAGTTTGTTCAGAAAGGAGATCTATGATTTCAAAAAGGATGAAGCTACATTTTAATGACACCAAATGACATGAATTGGAAAGCAGTACTGGATTTATCCTGCAGGTGTCGCTCTCTTGATTTAGGCAGGAGCGTAATTCTTTTGCTGGAAGTAATGTCATGTGATTCTTGCAGTCCCTTACATGATGCAATCATGTATTATTCAACACAGAAATTTCATTTAAATGAGATGTTGCAAACTGAATGTTTAGAAGGTTTAATCATGCTCACAACAGCTTGTGCAAACTCTGTCATATCCACAAGTCCAGTTCTGTGAAAATCATAAGAACACTAGAAATGGTTTATTGATTATAAATATAATAACCAACAAAATGAACATGAAACAAAACCATGTGCATTTGTACAGTTGTAGCCAAGCCTTTATCACCATGTAAGAGAAGCTGGCATTTTTTCACAAAATGTATTTCATGCATTCAGTTGTAAATACTCAGGTCAGTACCTGCATCATCAGGCATATAACATAGCTCACATATATGAAAAAAAATGTAGCTTGAATCATGAAAGGTGCTGTTCTGATGAACATTTATGAGGAATGTTCTGATGTGCGGTTTTAGTCCCAGCCAGCCCACCATTAAGATTCACAGAGAAGCAAACATGAGTCAACCCACTCCTGGAGGACTAAGCAGACAAAAGAAAGGGGGTGGTGGGGGGGGGGGGGCCTTGTTCTGAGGAGCAAATGGGGCAATGGGGGGGGGGGGGGGGGGGGGGGGGGGGGGGGGGGGGGGGGGGGGGGGGGGGGGGGGGGGGGGGGGGGGGGGGGGGGGGGGGGGGTGTATTATGTATTCAAGCATGCTAAAGGGTTTTTCTTTTTTCAGCCCATCCCTTTCTATCTTCTAAAGGCGTAACATGATCACATTCATTGTGATGTCCTTCTCAATTCCTTGCTCCTCTGTAAGAAACTGTACATATGCATCAACATTCAATTACATTGCATTTACTGTGACTGGGATAAATCCACTGAGAACAAATTACAAAGGATTTTACTTTTCTCTTGCATCCCTAAGGAGTTTTTTTCTTATGTAAATACAGAATTACTTGGTATTTACAAAATGTCTCTTGCATTTAATTATGATAATTAGTCTTTGCTGTTCAAAGCTATTACGAGTTTTTTCTTGACAAACACAGAGGAAAGAACACACAAATAATCTAATATTCCAAAGAATATTTTACATTGCCAGCACTCCTCCCACCCCAAAATGACTTACAGTAAACAAAGCTAAATAAGCTTTCAACAACCAAAGTCAATTATTCATAAAGCACACATAATATTTAGTTGAATTTTGGTTTGTCTGGCCTTCTTTTATACTATGAGATGTCAGAGAATAAATGAGCATATAATATAGAATTTGCATTTCCTTTAGAAATTAATACTACATATTTGTTCAGATATCACTGGCCTTTAACCAGCAGGCAACTGCCATTGAGCTTGACATTCCACTGGGATCTTCATTCTGTAGTATCAGGTAAGCTGCATTGCTTGTAATGTATCCGTCAGTCTCCAGCCAGCATGCTACCACACTGTGTATCAACTCTTATTATTATACAGCTCTCACTTGGCTGTTGGTGAAATGTAAAAGACCATATTGTTTCTGACAGCAAAGGCACAAGCATTCCGATATCTGTATTCCATTAGGGTTTGTGATGTGTGCACTGGGAATACTCTAAACTCCATAGCTGAAGCTGTGTGCAGAGACTCCAGGCCCCTCTCGGCGTAACACCGGAGGTGTTAATAGCACAGGGAGTCTGGGCCAGCCCCTCCCCCTGTCACCTCTCCATCTGCCGCTCCCACACTTGCCCATTTGTTAAACTCTGGCCACCATCTGACTGGTGCTAAACCATCTCTGGCTATCAGACCATCCAAATGGTGTAAATTAAACATCAGCTCAGCATGATACGACTGACCCTAAGGGTGAAATGAACAACACAGATTAGGGCTTCCATATTTTGCACATATCATATACATACATATACAGATGTTTATTCACACTCACACATACTCCCTCACATTCCCTGTATAAGAAGATGCTGATGTAGGGTGCTGATGACTAGGAATGGAGAAAAAGACAGGAAACAAATCAAGTGAGTTGTTATCAGTATCCATATTTCCATTGAAATCTATTTGCTTTGCACGTATACTGTACCTTATTCAAGTACCCAGGAGCTCCTCTGCTTATCGCAATGGCCGGCGTCTGCTAGTTTTAAGCCATTTAATGCTTACTGCATTTCCCCGTAGCATACGCACATTCCCTGGAAGTCTGATAAGACCAGATCAGAACAGTTGGCCACGCTTATGTGATCCCTTGCAGAGAAACTGCTCATCTTTGTCCTAATAATTATATATAGTCGAATGATAAAACTGAACTGAATTTAGATTAATGGCATTTGGCTTACACAAAATATGCTCTGATCAAAGTATCAGTGACATCAAGCTAAGCTTGAAATAGAAACTGATTTTTCTTATTTGGTCTAGTGGGATTGCATGCTAAATTTTCTTGTTACCAGGAAGTCCATGGTTACATTTCTTATATACAAGGACTTAGATGACGTCTGAGGTACAATTCATTTTTTAAATCACTGCATAGTGTATTTTTATTCACTACTTGTGAAAAATAAAGTTATAAAAATCAATCTCTTCTTTATGTTTATCTTGATATTATCTCTTAACCCTGATTTCGAAACTGTCACTAGCAGATTTTTATCACATCAACTTAATCTTTATTCTTAGTGTTTCAACTGCTAATTATATGAAATACTTTCCCCTGGACCGATAAACCCCAAAAAATTGTCAATTAAGATTAAGGTGCTACCAGGTCTTTGAGGAAGTGGAAATCTACTTCACACTCTTTACATATTTAATATGTTCAATGAATACTCAATAAAGTAAAAATGTAAAACGTATTTCTGGCATAGTCCTTACAATTCACTTCTGTACTGACAATAGCTCACTTTCCACATTACTTCCATGTCTGTTTTGTCCATACTCAATGTAGTAGCCCGTATCATTAACATAGGGGCGTCAGAAGCATTTTGAATGTGGGGGGGGGGACAAACTGGCATAAAACTATTATTTTATGTTAAATGTGGGGGGATCCAAACAAATAATTATGAAATGTGAGGGGGGCATGTCCCCCTCAGATTTAATGGCGGCGACGCCCATGCATTAACAAACTGACCTCTTCAAAATCATATATTTGCATATTTGTATACTCTCATACCCTCATGACATTACAGCATCAAACATAACCATGCAATATTATGGCAGGAAGAGCACGTTTGTCCACATAGTGAATATTGTAAATCGGAAGGTATTGTAGTAAATTGCTGATTGATCCATCAAAACGTAGCCTACCTACTGTATAATGGTGTCATAGTTCTCTTAATTGATTATTTCAAAAGAATTATATTACGTTTGCAACTAACAGTGTTTACTTTATAAGTTTAATTTGTTTGGAATGGTGGGAATTAAAATTCACCAACTTTTGAAGCATTTGAAACTATTTTGCTTGTCCAACTATTGCAAACATTTGCAAACTATAAAACAATTTGTAGGAACGTGCCATTTGTAACAAAAGAAGACCATTTGTGATTTCTGGTTAAGGCCATTGGTCTGAGCACTAAGGCATTTGCATACAGGGTGTCTTAAAGCCAAGAGGGACTCTTACCTTAAGGGCTCTAAATGGTTTGCATGCCAGTAAGGAGCAGCTGTTTCTGCTAAGATTAGACATCAGAAGTTGTTATATAGTGTACCATTTTATCTCTTGTAGTACTGTTGTAGTGCAGAAATGAATAATTATTCAGGGAAGAGAGTGTGGTTTCATTGCATTGTATTTGTTAGTGTGCTGATAATTGCACAAAGTATAACAACCAAGTACCAGACGTATGAAGAGGATGACCCCGGCACGGAAATAGGTAATTTGTCAGAAGATTTGAAGATCAACTTATCAAACAGTTCCCAAACAAGTTTCCGTTTTATGCACGAGGCAAATTCATGTGTTATCCAGATGCGGGAGATGGATGGACTTCTGACTGTCAGAGAGCGCATTGACCGTGAGGCGCTGTGCCCCCTCTCACCTCGCTGCCTGATCTCTTTTGATGTTGTTGTTTTCACCAATGAAAAGTTTCAGCTAGTTCACATTGAGATCGAGATACTGGATATAAATGACAACTCGCCACAATTTCCCAGCAATGAGAGGTACATCGAGGTTTCTGAGAACACAGCGGTGGGAACACGGCTACCATTGGACGTCGCTGCAGACCAAGATGTGGGCCAGAACTACATTCAGAGTTATCAGATTTCCTTTAACAGCCACTTTGGTATAGATGTACAAAGAGGTGAGGATGGACTTAAATTTGCTGAGCTTGTTCTGCTTGAAGAACTGGACAGAGAAAAGGAGGATTCATATATAATTCAACTATCAGCTACAGATGGGGGAAATCCTGCTAAATCAGGGTCAATGAATGTATACATCAACGTGCTGGATTATAATGACAACAGTCCATCATTTGAGAAGAGTTTATTAAAGGTTGAACTGGCCGAAGATGCACCTGTGGGGTTCCTTCTGCTGAAAGTGCATGCTTTTGACCCTGATGATGGTGCTAATGGTGAGGTGGTTTATGGATTTACTGATGACTCCTCCACAGATGCAAAACGAGTTTTCCAAATAGACTCACATTCTGGTGCTGTGACCTTAAAAGCTTTAGTTGATTATGAAACAAAAAAGTCATATGAATTTAAAATTCAAGCTAGGGACCTAGGCATGAACTCGGTGCCATCTACCTGTAAAATCACAGTAGAAATTTTTGATGTTAATGACAATGCACCTGAAATAAGCATCAAACCAATCACTTCAGTTAGTGAGGGAGTCGTTTACATTACCGAGGCAGCAGCTAAAGACAGTTTTGTGGCTCTCATCAGTACTTCGGACAGAGATTCTGGCTCAAATGGGCGTGTTACCAGCAGTCTGCAAGGACATGAACATTTCAGGCTGCACAAGGCATATGGAGACACCTTCATGATTGTCACAACGGCCACCTTAGACAGAGAGAGAATTCCAGAGTACAACCTGACGGTAGTCGCCCAGGACTTGGGATCCCCACCCTTCAAAACGATAAAACTGTTCAGCATCAGGGTGAGTGATGAAAATGACAACCCACCACTTTTTAGCAAGTCAGTCTATGAAGTCTCAGTCATGGAAAACAATGTCCCTGGCTCATATATTTCCACTGTGATAGCCCGTGATTGGGATGTAGGAGACAATGGCAAAGTGACATACAAACTGCTAGACAGAAAAGTTGCTGGAGGAGTTCCATTGTCTTCCTATGTGTCTGTACACCCTGTTTCAGGCTCTTTGTTTGCTATGAGGTCTTTTGATTATGAAGCACTGAAGCAAATTGAAGCAGAGGTCATAGCCATCGACAGTGGTACCCCTAAACTGTCAAGTACAACTTTAATTAGGGTGGAGGTAGTAGACCAAAATGACAATTCCCCATATATTACTTATCCATATTTATTTAATAACTCTGCAGAGGTAGCTGTACCTTACAATGTACCTGCAGGTTACCCTGTCCTTAGAGTGAAGGCGCGAGATGTAGATGAGGGTGCCAATGGGAAGCTCACCTTCAAGATTGTGGAAGATGTCCTGGAACTCTTCTCTATCAACAAGGACACTGGGGACATAGTCCTCAAGTATGGTCTGACGTTCATGATTGGAGACACGGCGGAAATCAAAATTTTGGTGACCGACAACGGGAGATCACCCCTCTCAATCACTGCCTCCATCCACTTCCTAGTGACGGAAATGCAGCCTTCTGAAGATCAGATTGTGTTTGTATCACAACCCACTGATATGGAATATTTGGACTTGGATGTTTCGCTTGTGTTTATTATCATACTCGCTGGGGGCTGTGTTCTGTTAATGATGGCGATTATGATTGTTGGATTTTCCTACTTAAAGAACCAGAGAAATGGAGACAGTAATTACAACAGAAATAAGAATGTTTTTTCAAACAATCCCCTCCTGTCACTTCCTTCAAGTTATTCAAACATGCATAGTGAGCCTGAAGTTTTTGTCAAGCAAAGACTTTCCTGCCCAGATGAACCAGGCTTCAGTTTGAATCATTTGGAATCCTCTTCTTCTCCACCAAATGATAAAAATACTTTGCAACAAAGGTAAGAATTATGAGAACATAAATTACTTATATTAATTTGGACTGGTGCAGCCACTGCCTCGAGGGTCTGATGTGTGAGATATCAATGTGTGCTCTGAGAAATGAATGCTGATATATTTAATTGTCTTTACAGTGCCGCTGAATACAGTGATCAGCTCAGCGTGAAGGACAGTGGCAAGGGGGATAGTGACTTCAACGACAGTGACTCTGACATCAGCGGAGATGGATGCAGGAAAGCCTTACATTTGAATGTTCACGCTACCTGTAAGTTTATTTGATTTTCACGATGGCCGATGGTGACAGAAACTATTGTTTTTTTTCATTTGTTTAGCAGATGCTTGTATCCAGAGCAACATACTTTTTTTGTGAAAACGGGGTCAGACAGTTCCTGGAGCAGTTGTGTTTAGGGGCCTTACTTAAGGGCCCAACAGTGAAACCACTTTGCCGACCCTGGGATTTGACCCAGCAACCTTCCTATTGCAGGCACAGCATGCTAACCCACTGAGCCTCTCCTAAAACCCATACCTTCCCCCATTTTCCCGTCCGATGTATTTTCTAATAGCAGCTGTCTGAAATCTGAATTGGATTGGTGATGTATGTCTTGTTTACACTCTCTTTGTAGCTGCTCTCTTTGTTTATAATGATGCCTACGCTGTGTTTCAGGTTCGATTCAGTCTCCTGACGCCCTTGCAGCGGATTGGCCGGGCAATTACTGTGTAATCCCTGCTATCGCACCAGTCTCCTATGGGAGGGGCAATACATTACCCTCAGCCCTGGCGGCTGCCTGCAGGCTTCCTCAAACAAATCCCACTTCCCGGAAGGACCCTGGCCACAGCACTCACATGACCAGAGTGAGAGGCTTCCGGCAATCCTTCACCAGGACTGATGCAGTGCCCCCTCTGTCCTACCAGCATGCAGAGAACACAGGACGTCAGCCCAGTGTGTGGTGTCCGGACAGCGAGTACATAAACATGCTGCGTGAAGTTGCAACCCCTTTTTAAAGTTACCCACTGATGCCAAATTGAGGAGGGGTGTTTGCGTGTCAAATGGCGGCCTTCAGAATTTTCTCTAGTTGAAATTAAGCAGAAACAGACTCATTGAACAGAAGTATATTTCTAAGAAGGGTCACCTATGACCATCCCCATTCAATACTGAACTGAGTGTATATTCATAAAATTGCTATTGTAACTATATATGTAATAAGTTTAAGCTTGTGTTAAAGAGGATGGCCATATGCCTGCTGTATTTGTTCTGTGAATATTTAAATGTATGTACTGTAGAGGTATAAATGTATTCAAATGTATTTAAATGTATTCGAGATATATTTCTAAGTTTCTTAATTTATGACAAATTTATAACATATTTTAATGTAATAAATTTCTAATCTGTTTTAGTGTGACAAATTAATTTGAATTATGTAAAAACTGTTCCTTAAAGTCTAACTTATTAGGTTTTTGTACTAACCTTTTACTAACACATTTAGATGAGGTCTTTTTTCTGAATTTGATGAGTATTTGTTGAGCATGGTGTAAGCAGCCAAAAGAAATACGCATATAATAATTAATAATTCAGTTAAACAGTGACCGTCAGACTATGAAACTTCATTAATAACATTAACAGTATCTGAAAAGAAAGACTGAAGGCTTCATATCTTAATGAAGGGAATGTTGTTGAGGTCTTCTTCAGCTAATGGAATCATTAATTATGTCACTGTATGGGATAGCAGTTCATCTGGGCACATATTTAGACACACAGTCACATGCTATGAGCAGTTTAGAAACAGTGATTCACCCTAACCCTGTTTTTGGACTGTGGGAGGACACTCAAGCAGACCCACAGATAACATGTGAACACCACCAAAAGTAGGGGTGTGGGACTGAACTGGAGCTGTGAGATCACATAGCTCACTGCTGTACTACTCTGCCACCTTTACTAATTATAACACACACACACACACACGTGTATAATTATATCTTTATGGAGACTCTATCCATTTCTAGGGGGAAAATCCTAATCTCAACATGACGACCTCAACCCCTACCCAGCCCTAACCTTAACCATTAGTAACCAAACAAAATACGAGACTTGGCATTTTTACTTTTTTGATTGCATTCTCAGATCTTTGTGGAGAACTGAAAAATGGTCCTCACATCGTCAAAAAGAACAGGTTTTTACAACATTGTGGGGGACATTTGGTCCCCACAACGTAATATAAACCTAATCCACACACACACACGCACATATGTGATGAAATGTATCATATGTAGAGCCAGTTTGTAGAGTGCATTCATGTGATACGATGCTTTTTACACGAGGCTTCCTACAGGACACAAAGGATTTGGCAGTCAGCATGAAGCCTTTGAGTTATGCCCCCCTCCCTTCCCGCTGCACTCAGCCATCATAATGGGCCGGTATTTACTCTCCCTGCACGTGCCCTGTGTATTGCTAGTGGTGTCATCAGCAATTCCTCTGTGGCTACCCGGTGTCCTTCTCCAAGGCCAAAAACTGAATCTTAAGCACAGTGCACGAGCTCCGCTTGAAATCAAGGCTTTGTCATGATTCCGCTGTATGTATTAAACAGACATTTTCTACAACAAATTGCACATAGGCTGGAGAGTGTTGAATATGATGCTATTTTTGCAGTCACTATGGTATAATGGCTGGTGCTGTGCTAAATGTGTTCCTCTTCATTTTTTTCCTCTGAAATACTAGCTACTGTGATAAATCTTTTCAGTGGACAGACACCAAAACTAACTGGTACAATAAATCACTCAAAATCCATTTACTGCCACATAAGGGGTGACATTGCTAAGTGACTGTACCCTTAAATCGCCTCGATTGATATTGGTGTGTCGCAGGAAAACTGCCCGGATACTCGTGTTGTGAGACCACAGCGCCATCATGAGGTCTTTTTTTCTATTCGAAGTTCATCCACTGGAGAAGAGGCGAGTCCTTTTAACAAGGCTGCTGTTTCACAGATTTTGGTGTTATCTTTCCGTTAACGACTGACTTACTCTTGAAATTCTAATGTAAGATGTTGTGTTTAAAGTTCCTACAAATACAACGGGGTTCCTAATCTCAGTCCAATTTATGATATATTTGACTTTTCAATGCAATAAAGGTGACCATCTAATTTCAGAAATCGTATCCTATGTTAAAATCACTGCATTTCACACCTTGTTCGTAGGTCAAGTAAAAGAGACAATTAGCAATTTGGACCAATTAAGTTGGCCAATCAAATTCTACGCAAACCTTTGTACACATGGAGCTGCTAGAGTTTTCAGAGCCTGAAATCCCTATTAAAGAGCAAGGAACACCCACCCCGATGACTGGGAAATACAAATCTATAGTACCCAAGTCCATCAAGCTAAGTCTGCAATTATTCGGCGTTGCTGTTCTATCTGTAATTACAGACATTTTAGTGTCTTTAAAGATTATGTAAGCAGTTGGCAGACAGCTGTGAAATCTAAAGGTATTTACTGTTTAAAATATAATTAGTCCAAATTATCTCTATATCTTTGAATGCTAGGTTTCTAGACAACACAGAAAATATTTCCAATTGCTATACTTATATGAACGTGCACAATAAACATTCTTTACTACCATCTAGTGGTTATTCGGGGAAATGACAATATGATGAGGGGCAGGAGCCACATCGCTTTTTCGTTCCATCAAAATCCCAATATAGAAAGCTGCATATATATGCATTGCGGCTGGTTTGATTACAGGGTGTGGAAGAAGACTGCAGTGCAACAGAAAGGTCTCAACGTGCACAGAAATTCAATAAGTTCTCAGGTGCTGAGAGGTGAAAGCAAGAGGGGGGGGGAATCTTTCTTTTGGTTTTAAAGGATTATGTTGTGCTGCTAATGAAATGAGATACCTGTTCCAATTATTGATAAATATATGCAAAAAAAGGTGTACATTTTCTTTAAATGGCAGTCCTGGCTCGGTGGATCAAGGGCAAACAGAACCAATTATGTTCAAAGTGACAGAAAGACATCTGTCCTGCCCTCCAAATGAGATGACCGAGGATATTTGCCTGTTTGCCATTAGCCATTAATTCATTGGTCACATGCCAGCAGGGGTTTCAAAGCTAGAGCTTGGCAAGAATTTACTGGAATTTGCAGGAAAAGGTATCGGAATCTGCTGTGTGCCACAGTGAATTAAAGCATGCGAGTCATTTAAATTTAACAGCCCGATGTGCTTGAATCCTCACACCTCAAATATGCTTGTTTTCCAATATTTGATGAAGAGAACTCAGGCAAGAAAAAATCATATATAATCCTTTCTAAAAACAAGTCTGTTTAGCAGAAGGTAGCTTTATATGAAAAGGAGTGGTGTTTATTAGCAGTCTAAACCCTACCAAGGTTTTAGAAAAGGACTTCAGTTCAGAGCTGGCACACTTCACAATTGCCGCAATGATCACCGTACCCATCTTCCGTTAATAAAACTGTATACCTCATAAAATGCAGAGTTGGCAGTCATGGATTCAGGTGACCATATACATGTAGGTGTTTGGTTTGTTCATAATAAAACAGCTGATTTTGTAGAACTGAAGTCCTTGTTGCTTGCAATTAAATGTGTGACAGTAATGCCCATTCATAGATGCACATTTTACAATTTATTTGTTGCTAACACTGTACGTTAACTACTATGCCATCTGCTGTGCGTACATAATCCTTACATCTTGGAAGTGCCAAGTTTTGTCACTGGCCTAACCTGCCATTGATATATTTTGGAAATTAAAAATATGCTAATTAAATATTTTGTCCAACATTGGAAAGGAACTTTAATTAGTTTCTCAGGGATTAAGATAATTGGTAATCTCAAACTGAGCTTCCTGCATTTTCTACAAGTGTATAGTTGTTAAATTAACATGATTTCATTGGTGATAAACCCAAGAGCATAGAAACAAAGTGAACAAAACGGCTTATAATTAAGAAAAGGCTTGTTCAGTACCATAGTTTTATACTTTTAACCTCCTGATTACCACGATACAGAAAAATAAACGGGAATTATTAAACTAGCTGATATAGATTTGCCCCTCCACTCTCATTTGGTTTTAAATGTCACCAAGACCTAAGCAAAACTATTGATCCCATGACGAAAGTCAATTTAAGAATGATATTAAACAAGAAAAAAAAAAACTGGAAAGCTTTAATGACACATAAGGTGTGAAGCAGTTTGTGAATTAAATGTAATAGAAGGTTTATGAAACATGAAATAGTTAATTAAATCAGTCATATTACAGGTGAACAAATAGAGATTTTCCTATATATATATACACTCACCTAAAGGATTATTAGGAACACCATACTAATACGGTGTTTGACCCCCTTTCGCCTTCAGAACTGCCTTAATTCTACGTGG